TTTTTCTGCTTATGTGGTGCTGAGGAATCGAACCCAGGGCCTCAGGCATGCAAGGCAAGCGCTGTACCACTGAGCCACCTTCCCAGCCCGGAGGAGCAGTCTTAAGCCCGGGACGACCCGGAGGAGGCCCCGGTGGGCTGTATCAAGGTGCCCAGACAGGCTCCGGCCGGAGACCACATAAGCCCAGCGGGGTGCGACTCCCCCGTTGCGGCCTAGTTTGAGCCCCTTAACAGAAGTGAGCGGTGAAGCAACAGGCCCGGCCAGCGGCGGCCGGGAGGGGCGGCGGGGGAGGAATTGGGTATGCGCTTCCGGCCGCCAGGCCCCGCCCCTGGCGGCTATTAGCAGACTCCGCTCCTGCGCGCCGGGGTGGCGGCCGCGTGCGGGGGCGGGGCGCTGTTTCCGCCGGGCCATGGGGCCTCGCGTGCTGCCGCCGCCGCCGCCGCCGCTACCGCTGCTGCTCCTGCTGCTGCTGCTCCCGCTCCCAGCACTGCCGGGCAGGGCTGAGGGGCCCGCACCCTCAAGCCTGCGCCCTCCGCCGGCCGCGCCTTCACCGCCGCCTGTCGCGATTAATGGCAGCCAGCCGGGCGCGCCCCACAACAGCACGCACTCGTGGCTGCCCGGCGCCACTGGTTTGCAGCTGCTGCGCTCTTTCTACGTGTTCTTGGGCCTCAGCGGCCTGGCTGTGCTCTACTTCCTCATCCGGGCATTCAGGTGCGTCAGGCACACGCCACTACCCTACCGCAGCCAATTGAGGCCCGCCTCGCACATTACGTGCTGGACGTTGGGCTCCGCCTCCTAAGTGGGCGTAGATGGCTGCCTGTTCGTCATGTGGCAATAGGGGCGGGGTATCCTCCTGACTTGCCTGCTGTTGGCATCTCTTGGTGGATGCTGGGTTCCCGGTTTGCTGCTTGGTTCTGCAGCCTGGTTAGGGGTGTTGCTGCTCTGTTCCCGAATGGTAACAAGGATGCAGGGAAGTGACCGGGCAGGCCCCCTGGTGTTATTCCAGCCCCTCATTGTCAGATAACAGTACCCCTCCCTTGCTTCCCATGCTGCCTGCCCATCCATTGAGACCTCTGGGCTTGCAGCTTCCTACTGCCCTGCGCCCACCCAGTGCTCTCTGAGGCTCATTGTGAGGTGTGCTGACTCTCCCTTCTGTCCCCAGAAAAGAACCCTGGGCTTGGTGGAGGCTGCTAGTTCTTTCCAGGTTCTGCAGATGGCTTTGTCCTAGAGAGATGGCACTAAGGATTCCCTGACCTTGTCCCACACCCGTGACCCGTGTCCTGGCAAAGTCCAGATGCCCATCTAAACCCTTTGCCTTTATGGAAGACTCACTTTTCAGCCTTTTTTTCTTCCGGCAGAGCCTTGTGCTTCAAAAGTGATTTAGTAATATTTCTGGCTCTTGGGTACAAAAGTTTGGAGTGGTCATTGGCAGCAGGGCTCTGAGGGTCAGGATACATGGAAAGCCCCATGGGACAGAAGTAAGCAAGATGGGTGTCACCAGTACCAGTAAGACATCACAACATGTTTGGACCACTTGCAGGCTGAAAAAGCCACAGCGGAGGAGGTACGGGCTCCTGACTAACACGGAAGACCCCACTGAGATGGCCTCACTGAACAGCGATGAGGAGACTGTCTTTGAGACAAGGAATCTGAGATGGTAGGGAGTCCTCCTCAAGCCCCAAGCATCTTCATTAGGACTGGGCTGGAGAGCAGCATGGTATTGGGGTTCAGCCAGGTAGTTATGGTAGGAAAGCTGGACACAGTGACAGCAGATAGCCTCAATTTCCCTTCTCTTTTATAAGGGAAAGGAAGCTGAGCCTAATGATTCATGCCTGTAAATCCTAGCTACTAAGAAGGCAGACTTAGGAGGATATTGGTTTGAGGCCAGTACAGATAAAAACTTACTCTATATGAAATACAGCCAGAGGGCTAGAGGTGTGGCTCAAGCAGCAGAGAGCTCATCTAGAATTGAGGCCCTCAGCACTTGTTCTGGGGCTCATTTTGCCAAAGTCAGTGTCAGAAATGAATTGGCTACCAATGTGGACAGGTAGTCAGGAAGGCTTTTGGTGGCAATTAACAGGACCAGTTCCCAAAAGAGCATTTTAGACAGAGCAGCTGGGCTGACGACCCAGCAGTCTGTATTTAAGGAGACCCAGGGGCAGGGCCACTGTAGGGGTGGGCTTTGGCTTTCTAAGCCCCCAAGGGAAATGGACTCCACCCTGGGAACCCTCTGTGGTCTCTTCCACTTCACCTGGCTGGTAGATAGTTGGGAAAGGTGGACCTGGTGGCACAAAGTACCTTAAATGGGCCACCCCCACCCAAGGACAGAACATTTCCTGGATTGAGAGCAGTCATTTGCCTGGTAGGGTGGCCCCATCCCTTCCTTCCTCTCACCCATCTCCTTCATCTTCCAGATTCCTTTCCAGGGACCATGAAGGAAGGACACGTGGCAGCCACTCTGACGCTGGTCCTACTGAGTGCCGCTCAACATTGCATCAGAGCCTGTACAGTCACTGTAAAACCACCACCTCTACCCCCAACTTGGACAGCATGGCTTCACCCTCCAGAACCCTCCCCCACCCCAAGCCTGTTCAAGGGAGCCACTGCCCATAATTTCTGTCCACCTCCCACCCCCACCCCGCCACCAGACTGTGACATGTGCTGATTCCCCTCCCCTGAATGGTTGGAGTGGCCCTGAGCTGAGGCCTAGATGCAGGTGGACTAAGGGGTCTCTGGGAGCGCCTTCCTAGTGGACTGGGGATAATAAATGAAGCAGTGGTTTTATAGCTGGCTCCAACCCTGTTGTGACCCCAGGTCTGGGTAAGGGTTAGGTAGCAGAATGGGACTAAATTGGTCCCAGGGCCCCATCCCTGACCATACTGGATTTCCTTTGCCCTTGCTCTGGCTGCCTGGATAGAAAGCTGGGGTGTGAGGGGACACCAGTGGTAGACAAAGTGGGGACCATTTTCAGCTACGCTGTTTAAGCCAGGGTACCGTCCCCTATATCATTTTCCACCTAGTGATCAAGAGCCATGCTCTCAAGAACATCTGTCTCAGCCCACCAGCACCTTTGGAGAGGTTACCAGAGGCATCCTAGGCAGCTTCCTGTGCACCACACCCTTCGGCGTCTGTGCGAATTATTTCCCCCCCCACCAAGCTCTCATCCTGAGAGACCTTTGGCTGCATCGATTCCTCTGTGACCTTTTTGGTTTGTTTGTTTTCTGGTTGGTCGTGGGGTTTGAACTCTGCACCTGTGTGCTGTACCTGAGCTCTTCAGCTCAAGGCAAGCGCTCTACCACTTGAGCCACAGCACCATTTCTGGTGGTTAATTGGAGATAAGAGTCTCATGGACTTTCCTGCCCGGGCTGGCTTTGAACTTCCATCCTCAGATCTCAGCCTCCTGATTAGCTAGGATTACAGGCGTGAGCTACCAGTGCCCAGCTTTGTTTTTGTTTTTGTCAGTCACAAACTTGAACTTTGGGCCTACATACTGTCCCTGAGCTCTTTAGCTCAAGACTAGCAGTCTACCACTTTGAGCCATAGCCCCATTTCAGGTTTATGGTGGTGGTTAATTGGTGATGTCTCACAGACTTTCCTGTCCAGGCTGGCTTCGAACCACAGTCCTCAGGTCTCAGCCTCCTGAATAGCTAGGATTATAGGCATGAGCCACCAGTGCCTGGCTATGTGTGTGTATGTGTATGTGTGTGTGTGAGAGAGAGACAGACAGACAGACACAGAAAGAGACAGAATTAGTCCTAGGGCTTGAACAGAGGGCACCTGAGTTGTCCCTAAGGGTTTTTGTTTGTTTGTTTGTTTGCTCAAGGCTAGCACTCTTATCATTTGAACTACAACTCCATTTCCCACCTTTCTGGTTATTAATTGGAGCTAAGAATCTCATGGATGTTCCAGTTTGAATTGGCTTTGAATCAGGATCCTCAGATCTCAGCCTTCTGAATGTCTAGGCTTGCAGGTGTAAGCCATTGGTACCTGGCTATGATTCTGTTTCCCCCCCCCCCTTCAGCTGCTGAGCACAGTCCAGCTGTGGCATGTCACCTCTGTATGTTTCTGTACATTTAGGTGTGTGTGGAGGGAGGGGCGGGGCGAGGGCGGGGAGGGATAGGGGGTGGTGTGAGAGTCCTTACAGCTGTTGGCCAGAACCCTGTCTGCCATGTCATAGAGAAGAGCCACCACTAGGTGGTAGCCTAGTGCTGTCGGTCACCACCACCCCCTTACTTTGTCTCAGGAACCAGACTCTGGGAAGTAGTCCTGCTGGGCTGTACCTTCCAAGCTCCTTGCCTTCACATACACCAGTGGGCTGAGACCAATGCCTGTCCCTGACCTGTGGGTGGGTCCTCAGGCGGTGTTTACCTCAGCCCCATGACCCTCCTTCCTGGGGCCCTGCCAGCTACTGGGGCGCAGGAGAATGTCCATATCTCAGGCCAGGCTGTTCCTCCCTCTTTCCCTTGTCCTCATCTTCTCTTGTCTATTTAACTGCCTGACCCACCTTGAGTCTCCTCTTCCTTTCCGGTGGTCTGGCCTCCCTGCCTAGTCTCTGCTACCATCCCAGGAAGTCCTCGATTATACCTCAACCCTTGGGAAAATGGGGTTCTGCTTAGGAAGGTGGCTCCCAGGATTGAGGCAAGAGCCCCAACAGTAGAGATGCGGGTGGATACTCCCTATGCTCTGATCTGGGGTTACTTGCCATCTACGTGGCCCTGTGGGTCTGGCTTTGAACACTGTCCCCTGTTTGTGTTTCCATCTGCCTTCTTCACTCTATCCATCTCTTGTCTCTACATCAAACCCAGGGGGACAGGCGCAAAGACACAATCCTGCCCCCCTCACCCTGTGATCTGCACCCCCTTTCCTGCAGTTCTCAGCCACTTCTGCAGCTTCAAAAGGCACATTAATTACTCTAATGAGGTCAGGAGAGACCCTCTTGCTGCCATCCGGAGCTGGGAACATGCCACCCCTCAGCCCAGCCGCTTCCTGCCCCACCCCCTCTGCAAAGAGGGCTTGCTTCTCATCCTGCACCTGTCAGGCCCATCCCCATGCAAGCGCCCCCCCCCCAGCATTAGCCTGGAGTAATTGGCCACCCCCGCCAAGGTTAATGCACTATTAGCTGGGAGCTGGGGGCCGCTTTTAGCCGGGAGAGGAGTCTGTCAGCATGAGATGAAAGGCCCTGGGCCTGTGTGCTTGAGTGTGAATGCCCCGGGAGGCGGCTCCCAGTGCTTCTTGCACCTCATGCAAATGCACATGCAGGGACAGAACATAACCATGTAGACAGTCACGCACCAGAAGGATGCCAGCTCACCCAATTCACAATCACACCTGCTCAGACAGGTGTCACCTGAACAGATCCTACGCCACTTAAGAACCTCTTGCCCCTGTATTTGCCCAAAGTGTCCACTGGACGTAAGCTCAGTTCCTTACAGCTGAGCTCTAGCTGGGGTCCTAAGCCTGGATTCCAGTCCTGGGTGACTCACCGCACAGCCTCAGCTTCTCTATCTGTGCCATGGAGGCAGGATGACGCTGATAGCACTTTCCTAGAGACAAAGGGTTGGGTCATCTACTGTCTGACTGCAGGGACTTCACAGACATAGCCCTACCTGCATTTTGGTCTCCTAGGAGACAGCTGATGATGGGGCTGTGCTCCTCTCTGGAGTCATTGGGTCATTGTCCTTCATCCCTTGTCCTCTCTAGGGGCTCAATTTGGCCTCCATCTCACCCCATGGGGGCCCCAAGTTACCCCTGCTGCCACATAGCTGTCAGTGTCTGCTCTTGGCACTGGTGATTCCCCACATATATAGCCCCACATGGCTTTAAGAAACACTATCATAGGAGCCACACAGCTTGATTACATGTATCAAAATTCCTGGCCCCAGCAGTTCAGAGTGGTGTATGGGTCCTGCATAGAACAGCATCACCATGTAATGTACCTTGGCCTTAGCTAGGAAGGTATGGACATGCTGGCTGAAGGGCCAGTAGAGGCCTCAGAAGGATGAGCCTGTGATCAAAGGCCTGGAGACTGGGGCGGGGGTGGGGAGGGTGGCCGCGGTAGGGGGGGAGGGGGCAGTGTCAAAAAGGAGAAGAGAGCTGGGTGCCTGTGACTTACACTTGTTATCCTAGCTTCTCAGGAGGCTGAGATCTGGAGGATTGTGGTTCAAGGCCAGCCCAGGCAGAGAAGTCTGTGAGAGTCTAGCTCTAAACCAGCAAAAAGTCAGATTGGAGGCATATCTCATGTGGTAGAGGACCAGCTGAGGAAGGCAATCAAGTGCACTGTCAAGTTCAAGATCCCAGTTCTGCCAAAGAGGAAGAAAGGAAAGGAAAAGAAGAGGGAGGAAGGTAGGGAGAGCCTTACGTGAAGGTTAACAAGAGAGAAGGAAGAGGTTGGAGGTGTGGCTCAGATGGTAGAATGCCAGCTAATTATCATAAGTGTCAGATACCAAGGCCTGGTCTTGAGCCAAAAAAGAGGAGGAGGAGGAGGAAGAGGAAGGGAAGAAGGTGAGATGGGAGATGCCTGGGGAAGAAAATGGGCCATAGGAGGGAGGATGGTTGGTAGAGAGTAGGGTGGGGTGGTAGAAAGGTCAGACAGGAGGAGGAGGAAGGGGGAGGTGAGATGGGAGGAGAGGGTAGAAAAGCAGCAGCGGTATGTGCCTGTGGGGCCTGTTGTTGCTGGTGGTCCGATTCAGGAATCCTAGGGTCCTGTACCAGATGATGGAGTAGAACTTCATTTCCTAGCAGGAAGGATCTACCACTTTATTTTCTGCAGTCTTGAGATTCTGTCTAGCTCACAGATGGGGGCAGCTTAGCTGGACACTGACCCAGCCACCCCGTTACCACTTCCCAGGTTGAGTAGCCAGAAAGACTAGGGTTCCCGTAGACATCACTTGGACCTGTCAGCACTCTGTAACCACTCTGCCCTGCCTGGCCACCCTGAATCCTTGGGGGCGCAGAGCCTCCTGACCTATCAGTACCCCCCCTTCCCAGCCCATCCTGTCTGGTTACCCCAGGATTTCTGAATCCACTAGAGCAGACATTGGATTTGGTCTAATTTATTCTGTAATGAGAAATTTCTCCCTGCATATTTTTAGCCTCCTCTCCAGCTTTATGGCCTTTGAAGACAGAGGGGCTGCCAGACCTGATCTCAACCCCTGCAGCCTTGCCCTGTGGGCTGAGGCAGTGAGTGGGTGTTGCTGGGTGGCCAATGACAGATTAGGGCTGCTGGCAGGGGCTAGGGGCCAGGCTGGGCCTGGGCTAGGGAAGACCCTCCTGCGTGTGGGGTGGACTCTTGACCTCAGGGTACAGACCCAGGCAGAAGACAGACTCTGGGAGAACAGGAATGGATCCTATCAACAGCCTGTCCTAGATCTAGTCCTGGGGCTAACCATTGTCTCTGGTGAGCCCTGGCCCTGCCTGACCCTTGTCCCCAAAATAAGCTTGACCTCTGACCTTTGACTGCAAAAGAAGCCTAATCTAGAATGACCTCCCCTCATCCCAGCTGCCTGTGGCTGGCTGAGCCTCCAGGCTGGGACAGCCCCCTGCCCCCAAAGGGCCAGGGCTTTGGGGCCTCCACCGTGCTGGACTGCAGTTTGTCAGGGCCAGGTCTGGAGCCACAAGCATTGCCCTCCCCTCCCTTCCTGGTCCTCAAGAGCGGCCAGCGGGTGCGGGGAGGTTGAATGGGGGACAGCTGCCTTTGTTCCTGTCCCTGCTCGGGCTCTGACCTTGAGAGAGAGACAAGAACAGAAGGAAAGCGGAGCTTCTGCTCAAATCCGCTCGGTGGCAGG